CCGGGGGTTTTAACCCCATCGGTAATATCGATTTCTTTATTATCTTTATCGTTTTTATTTTGTAAAACGGAAAGGAAATATTCACGCTTTTTAGCGTAAACGTTGTTATTTGGTTGGTTTTTAACATTCCAACCGTTTGGCGCTTTATTTGGTTGTAAAAACCAGCATTGCGTGTAGGTATGGCCTTTTAATTTGCAATAAGTGCAAATTTTATGCTTTATAATTGCCGGAATATTATGGTTTTGCCGGCTAATTCGGGGTTGTTTTAAAATCGATAAAAGCCGTTTAATATCGTTGGAATTTTTAATATCGATAGTAATTTTCGACGGCATTTTAACGGTAATAAGTTATATAATATAATAAAGTGTAAAATAATAAGTAATAAGCAATAAATATATATAATAAAGTTATAAAGGTTGTAAAAAGAAAAAGAAAAGGAAAATAAAAGCGAAAGGAATCGTTAAATTTATAGGAATATTACAATTTCTAGAAGTTTTTATTGCTTATTAATATAACAAGGCATTTGTAATGCAAATTGTATTTTATTAATAATAAAACGTTTAAATATATATTAATAATCCGGAAATTCTAGCAGTTTCTAGCAATTTCTACCACTTTCCATGCAATTCCTTTTAACTTTATACATTATTATTTATTACAAATGCATTTAAATTACAAATAAATATTACAAATTACTTATATTGCTTATAAATACTAAATAATATTACTAATCTTTAAAAATTTCTAAAATTTCTACTATTAATATAAATATACGTAAAGCTTTCTTGTAAGTTGTTGTTTTTTTTTGTTTTTTATTCCATATTACCAATTTTTACACTTACGCACTTACTATTACTTACCCTTTTACGCTAAAACCTTTACTTTTAACCCTTTTTACAATTTATTTTCGTTATTTAACATGGATAACATTACTTTATTAACAAACAGTTTTACTTCCGATAACAATTCGGAATATATTACTACTACTAATAATTCTGGTAATAATACCGATAATAATACCGTTAATAATTCCGGTAATAATACCGATAATAACACCGATAACAATAATTATAAAAATTCTCCGTATAACCAAGCAAATTATACTTCACCGTTAAACGAAAACGAAAAAAGTTATATTTTCCAACATAATTTATTTACCCGTACTCTTTTACCGATTAATATAAATAAAGAACGGGAATTTGTTATTAAATGCACCGCGTGTAATTATATAATTATCGAAAAAGTTACCGGGTTTATAACATCAAATTACTTTCGGCATTATAAAGTTAAACACCTTAATATTGCTTATAATAAAGCTAGTGAAAAATATAGGCCAAAAAAGCAAAATATACCCCAAAACCCGATAATATCGTCGTTTTTATCAAATAATTTAACGGATAATCGAAAGCGCCAGCGACAAAATACAATTATATCGGACTTTAACGACGCGAATGCATATAATAAAATATTATGGTTTATTATCGATAATAATTTATCATTTAATGTAATAAAATCGGATTCATTTACTACTTTATTAAATTATTATAATAAAATTTCTCCCGTTATAAATAGGAAAAAATTAAAAGCTATATTAAATAAAACGTATAACGAATATTTATCGTTATTTAACGATAAAATGCAATTGCATATTGAAAATAACGGTAAATTTAATATAACTTTTGATATTTGGACTTCCAAAATAACCGGCACCCAATATTTCGGTATTATTGTAATATTTATAAGCCCGAATTGGAAATTAAATTATAAATTAATCGGATTTAAAGAAATTGGTAATATAAGCCATACCGGTAAAAATTTATATTTAAAATTTAATAATATTATCGAAAAGTATCCTTTTATTAATAACGATACTATTTTATCGATTACGCGTAATAACGCGAATAATAACGATACTTTTATAAATTATTATAACGAAAATATTACTAATACTTGTTACGATATTCGTTGTGCAATACATATATTAAATTTAATTGCAAAAAATATTTTACGCGATTTTTTAAATAATAATAACAATAACGATAATAATAATATTACCGCACGGGTTCGAAAAATTATTACAATTTTAAAATATAATAACAAACCAAAAAAGCTATTAATCGAAGGCATTAATAAATATAAAAACGAAAGCATATTAAAAAAGAATTTTAAACTTACAAAAATTCCTATGGATAATAATACCCGTTGGAATTCTACATATTTAATGTTAAAAACCTTTAATAAATTAAAAACCCTTTAATATACGTTGGTAAAAACACCGATAATAACGATTATAAAA